CGATAGAGAGCTAGTGTCTATATTAAAACTGAAAGAAGGAAACGACATTTGAGAAAACCTTCCTGCTCGAGGCAAATCATGAAAGCGTGCCCAAGATAAGTTTCTATTTTGTTTCATACTATAAGGTTGAAACTAAAATTCTTTCGCACTTTTTCAAAAAATCTTAACGCTTGTCACAATAAACTTGCATATCATTGATATCATTGGAAAGAGTAACATGTACTTTCTGATGACACGATGTTTATCTCTACTAAACTCTAGCAAAGGAAATAAAAATGGAAAAAACAGGTCCTGAGGCTTGCAGATTTTAAGCTGCCCCTTTATAAATCTAGAAGCTGTGCCATAAAATCCATAACAACAGTGTCATAAGTTCTTAGACCTCCGCTTTCTGAATGAGTAAAATTTATGCTGATCAATCTGCGAAAAATTATGATCTTCGAAAAATTACAGAAAATGTGGAAATTGTTATTTGAAGTTTTTCTCGAAAATCGTTAAATGAATTTCAATGAATGTATAAAAAAAATTTTCACAATTGAGAAAAAGACAAGTAGTAGTAATTTTTGAGTGGCTACGCAATGCACATAGGAAGCCAATTGAGAAGATGGCGAGAATGGGCATCAAACATATGTCCTTGATGGGAGTGGGTACTCGTTACGTATGACGGAATGGCTTCCAAAGGAAAGCACTATTATGGGGTCGCAGCTTAGAAAGAAAGCTTCATATCCTGAAGCTCCAGATATCTGGATTTCATGCTGTATACCTATCCGTGATATTCCTACCATCCTTCACTATGAACGTATTGAACAAGAGCGAGAAGCTGTATAAGCCGCATTTTCCAGCATTTTGCATGATCCCCTGATGATCCCCAGTGGCCAAGCGTCTTTTCTTCAAAGTCATTTTTCTTGGAAGTCAATGATAACATTCCAAAGTTGTGTTGAACATCTAACACAACAGTGTAGTTGCTGATAAGAACAGAAGAGTTTCGAAAAATCGAATTTTTCGATAAACCCCAACATTTGACTAATGGTTCATCGCAAATTTCATGACTCCAATAAATCATTTGTTCTTATCAGCAACATGCTTAGCAGTGTTGGGCTAGATGAACAGTACAACTTTCGAATGTTTTCGCTAACTTCGAAGAAAGAAAAATGACTTTGAATAAAAGACGCTCGGCCGCTAGGGATCAGGAGATCGTACAAAATGCTAGAGAATGCGGCTTCTACAGCTTCTCGCTTCTGTTCAATATGTTCATAGTGGAGGAGGACGAGAATACCTACGGAGAGGTAGACAATGTAAAACCCAAATATCTGGAGCTTCAAGATGTGAAGCTTTCTTTTGAGCTGCGATCCCCTCCCTGGCGGGGATATCAGTGCATGCGGCCCCAAAGAGCGACTTCCCCCTCCCCCCCCCCCCTTCACCCTTTCACCCTCCCGTCTGCATAAAGAAACAATAGCGCCAAAATCTCGATTAAAGCACTTCGAATCTATGAAGGTCTTTCCCCCCCCCCCCCCCACATAAATGAAGTGGAGCGCATGTCGCAGTAGCTAAATGTGCGTATGACGGAGGCATATATTGCGACGGAACTGCTCCAAATCCGCTTCGACGGAGGCGGTCGTGTTACGCGGCGCCATCTGGCGCCAACATCCTCACACTATGCAAACAGTGTAAACGACAAAGAACGTCCTTGACAAGCCGCTCTCTGAAACTGGAACGGTTCCGTTCCCGTTTTTCGCCGGATGACAAACGAACGCCGGCAAAAACCTATGGACTTAGATTTTAAACCGAGAGAAGTAGAGATTTGAGCGGGTGATTATCCAGCTAGGTTTGATCAGCACATTCATCGCAGATATCTGGTGACTAATTGTAACAAATTCTCCCTACCATGAATTTGACAAAGGTTTTTTACCGCAATCCTATATATTCTGACATACTTCCTCCGCAGAGATAAATGAGTACACATTTATGACCCAGTTATAATTACCCCATCACCCAGGCGACAGATTGTAAGTAGCCCACAATAATATCCGAATGAGGTTATTATGACACCTACTTTCTGGAGCGTAAAACATGATCCAAGAGCCATAGGAGTTTCGGCAGGATGTACCAAAAATGATAATATAACATAGCATCGGGAGATCAAAAAAAAACAAGATTCAACATATCTCCGGTATACTAGTGTCTCTCAGCACTTACACTCTGCACAAAACCCATTCTTCCGAAACACCGAACTCGACACTCAAGAATGAGCCACCGTAAACACTTCCATACGGCCATTTACGGCCACAAGAAAAATGAACGCACTAGGATTTCGAATTCAATTCACGAAGAGACTATTCCTCGCCGGTTCCAAACTGGGAAAAACGAACTGAGAGGTGGAAAGCAATTTTATGGTGTTTCTGCATGAAAGGAATTGGAGTTGAAATAAGACCAAGAAAACTGGCTTTTCAGATAACATAAATAGTTTTTTACCTTCCACCTATGTGGTTTCATCTTCCTTGGCACTGCAATTAGTAACCGTATGCCTGACTCAAAAGAAAAACGGAAGAATGATATAATTTACAGAAAAAAAGACGAAAGCCTCGTTCAACGCAAATTCACAAAAGCAGTGGTGCAAAAAAAAAATCAATGAGATAATAGGTCCCAAGGATGAATAATTACTATGTGAAGGAAAATGAAAGAGGAGCTCAAACCAGTGGAAATTGATGGAATAATTTTTGATATAAAAGGGAAATGATTAAGGTGGTAGAGTCTTCTAATGACAATCTGCTTTTGTTCATAACCGACCTTCTCGAACGAGATGAAAATTTTGAAAATTCAAATGTGGATAGATGTAACACGGTATACAAGGCGACTACTTCGCTTTTGAAAAGGATGATTACTCGAAGCTAAATACTGCTTACGGTAAATATTGTACGAAATCCCGAGATAAAAGGAAACCGTGTTAATATATGATTATTCAAATCATTGCAGGATAACTTGTGATAGCAGGATTGTGAAAGACAGTCAAATGCTCGATCACATTTCTTTGTTGAGTAACCATACGCGAAAAGCAAGCATAATGTATGGTGCGATAGGAAACCGGTACCCTGGTACAATCCACTTATTGATACAGATGTCTCGTCCAATGAAGCGGTGGTGGTGGTCAGTGTCCATTACGATGGAAATGACACAATTCGAGGTTCGACACGACGAGTGTCGAGGACAGGATCATTGTGAAAAGAGGATTTCATCGTAATTGTCTCTAATAAGAGAAGAAGTGCATCAAGGGGAATAAGGAGCCGGAAATGGCACAGTTCGTCTCCAAATACGCGAAAATTGCCAGCCATGAATGAACTTATTGTGTATAGAACATCCGCACCAAACCGTAAACGCAGGGTGACTAGTCATGTTTCGGGCGTATTAGTCATTTGACCAGAAAATGTGTATGTTCCAAAAAACGAATGTCAACTTTACTTATAAACACAATCACGATGTGTCACAACCAGGCACACGGAATATAAAGCATATAGTTAAGCTCAAGTTTAAACAGTTGCTCCATGAGAATAACAGTATGAAGTGGTAGAATATAAACAAAACCATCATAAAAAAATTTTTTTGGTTCTGTTTGATTCTGATTCTTATCCACTGAATCTGTCAAAAGTCAAAACGCACGTAACAATAAGCAATAAGAGAGGACTCAGCCTCAACCATTTTCCAGTCATGAGTAGAATGAAAAGATGTATGTATATGGCGGTGCAGTGCGAACCTTCAAAAAAATAATCAAAAGTGTAAGAATTTACTAGCACATCCGTGGCCAAAACGAAAGAATTTTATGCATGAAAACAGTGCGTTACAATTGAGATTTTTTACAGAAAGGAATAGAGCAGAAAGCACTGAATAGTTATAAGAAAGTTCCTTTTAAAGTCTTGGAAAGCAATCCTGTTATTTTAGAGCTCTGAGGCAAATGGGTGAAAATACGAATAATAATTGGTTTGATAGTGAAATATGGTACAACAGTTGATCAAATGAAGGAAAAGATGTCAAAAATGTTGTAGAAATAGCCGCATATAGAAGGCCTCAAAAGACCGAATTTCAGGTATGCGAGTCACGAAAAGGGTGAAACCATGAAAATTCCAGAGGCAAAATTCAACAAAAAAAAAGAGCTTGACAGAAATCAAAAGAGGAGTTGGGTCCCCCCAGAATCAGGTTTTTTTTTCAATTACAAGCATTTGAAGACTTGCAAAGCTGTGTGAGCATGTACGCTATATCCGCGGAACATGGAAGAAGTAAATGGACAATTAGAAACGACTCCAAGGCAGATCGCAGGAAACAGAAAGTACCCAAAGTATAATAAAAAGAATGCACAACAATCTTTGACTATGCCATATAACAGCAAGATTTGCGATACCAACTTATAGTGAGTTATATACAGCCGGTAGGTTACAGCCAACAAAAGCTGTTTATGAGGGCTGCATTTGTAAGCGTGACATCAACGAAAGTAAACATCAAAGAAAAACTCACTGGGTTCTCAGTCATCGACAATACGGACGCAATATAGCGCGAAAGTGAATAGGGATCTGGATGCGCAAGACGACAAGATATCCAAATAGGAAGAAAAAGTGAGAGAAGGTGGAAAAAATTGAAAGGACTCTCAAAATGCCGGATTTTCGTGAACGAGCGAAAAAAGCGGCGCGCATTCGACCGCAATTGCTTCACGACGGATTTTCGCGCGGAAATGCATTCTTTAAATAGAAAAATGGGAAATGATAGGTAATACGAATACGGGCAACAACCCTTGGTTTAAGCCAAGAGATGAAGAGAAGAAATTACATGAATAAGACTTTATTGCAGTAATTGAGGTCAACATGTACAAACATACAATTATGAAAGATGCTGCGCAAAAATTTACAAAAATAAACGTTGTTAGCCCTCTCAAGCTAGCAAAAACAGTCAAAACAACCAACAAGCATAAAAACAATGCCTATAATCATCAAATGGCATCACTATGTGATGAGCAGAACTCACGCCTCGGCTGCAGCTGGCTCCTCCTTTTTCTCGACAGCCTCATTAGGGCCAATTGCATCTGCAGCCAATTCTTTGACGTCATCTGATTTCTCTACTTTATCTTCTTTCGGACGCAAACTGTACTTTCTTTTTGCATAATAATTAGGCATAGCTCCAACCATCATCGTTTTTCGCACTAGTTGGACCATGAAAGTCACATCCGCATCTGGAAAAAAACTTAATTTGAAAAAATTAGGATTTACTGGAAGATAATTTCAACTTTGCGTCTAAAAAATTAGGGTGAGGGAACTTACATACACAATAAGGTTGCCGCCGCCTAATTAGCGGAGTTCTTGAGAGGTCATGAACTGGCAGCAACGCTAATTTGCACTCATTTTGCACCGAAGATGAGCTGACTCTGCTCACGGTAAATCCGTCATCATCCTGCAGCCTATGAAACCGGAATTGCTTTGAAATTTGAATTCAAAGTTCAGTAGTGAAATCAGTCCAATTAGGGCAAAAACTTGTATTTAGAGGTATTCTATCACGCTGATTCCGAATATGTTAATCGTTTTACTTGAAACCTAGGATTTTTTCTTTTTTGAATTAAAACTTGTTTTCACAAATAAAAACTTCAAAAATTTTATATAAGGGTTTTCTGACATGATATTTCCTAAAAAGCTAATGGTTACGCTCCAAACTTTGAATATTTTTCCCTTGGATTTTATTTATTTTCATACTCTGTAAATTTGGCAAATTTCACAATTAAGATTTTTTGACATGCTGTTTAAAAAAGCTGATGGTTTTGCATGAAACATCGAAATTTTTCTATTTTAAATTTAAAACTTTCTTCGGATTTGGTGATAACAACCACAGGCATGCCCTGAGAATCTGACGATAACAGAAGGCCATGAGGGCCATTTGCCTCAGTCGATCGTTGTACACAAAGACAAATTACGATTTATATATATCTATATATCTATATAGTATTTTTGAAGAAATTTTAAGTCCATCTATATAGTCTTCTCTGTAACAAACTGTGACATCTTCCTGCAATAGTTATTAATGACATCTATTTTGACATTGATACGATTTTCATTTTTCGATCTAAGGTATTATTGGAGCAAGATAGTTTAATCGAAATCGGATTCATTTTATTTTCTTAAACATAGCAGATTTTTTCCGTTTGTTTTCCAGGTTTATTAAATTTGCAGTGAAATTTCCGAAAAAGAGCTTGAGAAGTAGAAAATTTTTGAGGTTTCAAGCAAAAACATCAGCTTCTTCGGAAACAGCATGTCAGAAAACCCTTACATAGAATTTTTGAAGTTTTTGTTGGAAAATTTGTGAAAACAAGTTTTAATTCAAAAAAGAAAAAAATCCTAGGTTTCAAGTAAAATGATTAACATATTCGGAATCAGCGTGATAGAATACCCCTACATACAAGTTTTTGCCCTAATTGGACTGATTTCACTACTGAACTTTGAATTCAAATTTCAAAGAAATTCCGGTTTCATAAGCTGCAGGATGATGACGGAGTTACCGTGAGCAGAATCAGCTCATCTCCGGTGCAAAATGAGTGCAAATTAGCGTTGCTGCCAGTTCATGACCTCTCATGAACTCCGCTAATTAGGCGGCGGCAACCTTATTGTGTGTGTAAGTTCCGTTCCCCAAAAAATTAAGGAAAACACCTATAAATAATCAAGAAATCCAAACTTAAGGGATATAAATGCTATTTACCCTAATTTCACGCGTACAAGACGCACCTTTTTCGACTTTTCAAACAAGCCGCTTAACCGCTTCAAGGTGTTTCGGAAAGCGAACCTTAAACCGTTCAATTCTCTCAGGCAATACGGAGCCGGGTATAGGATTCTTTGGTCGCGAAGTGTTGTGGCTTGTTTGGGCTGGCAAATTTTAGAAAAAAACCCGCGCCTTATACGCGTAAAATTAGGGTAATTGCAATACCTTTTCACCGTTTTTCTCTTCATTCACATAATTATTCACTCTTTGGGCCTAATTATCGCGTTGCTTATTTCATGTGCCGTTAGTCATTGTGAAATGTCTTGAGCTGGGCTACCATCTCTTTCGAGAGCATGAAGTATTATTCCTTTCTAGTCGAATTTTCTTTGGAAATTACTGGTTTTGGTGCTAAAACAAAGACATCATCCTTTTTTAAACTCTCCCGGTATTTATCTCGAATCAACCCCTTTCATGCAGAAACACCATAAAATTGCTTTCCATCTCTCAGTTCGTTTTTCCTAGTTTGGAACCGGCAATGAATAGTCTTCTCGTGAATAGAGTTCGAAATCTTGCGTGCGTTCATTTTTCTTGTCGTAAATGGCCGTATGAAAGCGTTTATGATTTCGCAGTTCTTTAAAAGTGGGTTTCGACAACCTCAGAAAATGGTTTTTGCGCATCGGGGTAAATGCAGAAGGACATAGCCATACCGAGTTGGATCGGATTTGTCTTTCTAACGATGCCAGTTCTATCTTCATCGTTTACTTTTTTTATAAACAATGCTTTTGCACTTTGAAAGGTATCATTTTTGTTACATCAAGCGGAAGCTCTCACGATTCTTGTACCACGTTTACGCTCCAGAAAGTAGGTGTCATAATAACCCCATTCGGCTGTTATTGTGGGCTACTTATAATCTGTCGCCATTCTAATGCTTTGCCAAAAGAGAAGATATTCAACAGTTCAGTTAGTAGGTACCATTCTCATGGAAAACATACATCTCCACAGAACTCGCAAACTTACGATTCAAATCCACTTTCGAACCGGGAGCGACTGCATTTACAGCATCACCCAGCATTTCCAGCGCATCAGTTTTCTTAATTGAGTCATTATTCCGGGCTTTGAATTCCATCGCATGCGACGGGAATGATCCATCATCCTTCGCCTTCAGATGGCGCGAAACGCACTAGAAGCAAATTAATGGATTCACGATGACATTAGCGAGTGCACGTTCAAATCCAGACTAGTTTTCGAGACAGGAAAAGAAAGTGACAAATAACCTTCAGTATCATGTCATTCAACTTTTGCAGGTTTACGTCGGCCGTCTCCTCAACTGGCAGGACTCGCTGAAATTCGAAAGCGTTGCATAAGAGTCAACAATGGAGGTAACCCCTTCCTTGACAGCAAATTTTCCATAAGTTTGGAAAAAGACTAGCTTTACGAATGGATGTATAGGAGTTTGATATATGAATTCCCAATATTTTAAGACACTGTTTTCAGATCATCAAATTCTCTTTATCTTCGAGCCATCACCACTGCCCCCCCCCCTCTGCTACGGTAATCCTGACAATTACCTGCAAGTATCGGCACTGCCTTTCTGCTTGCGCATATGTCACCATTCGTTCAGCAAGATCAACAACATCTGCATCTGAAAGCTGTAAAACTCCACTGAAAAGATGTTCATGGAGAAAACAAAATTTAAATTGACTACAGAAACCAACAACTATTAGGTCTCAACCAAAATTTTCAATACGAGACATTCATATCATTTTCAAGAAGAAAAATTTGTTCCCAAAAAGCTTTGCGCCACAGCCTGCATTAGCTATCCCTAGGAATAAAAAAAAACAGAAAAAGACTAGTTTTTCAAGCAAAAATAAACTCTCCAACAGCGACTACCTTCAAAACAAGCCTGAGATTTGACTACTTCTGTAAAGGACTCCGCAAGTTCACTCAAATACAATGAAAGTTTCTGTCGAATAAAAATGTGCATTAACTATAACTCAAGCAGTATTGAACTGTGCGTGTAGGCGCCTTATGCAATTAAAATCTATTTTCATTAAACTTCAGCTGCACCTGCCAGATAGCCCTTTAGAAATCACGAAGCTTCCACAAAAGCCCGAATTTTGTATGAAAATTCCCAAAAGCTGCACCACATAATTCCCACTATAGAAGACAAAGATAGCCATCTGTACACCTTTCTCTGCTAAATGTGTTGACTGTTCTCAATTAGAAGTACACTTCAATCTCATCGACAATCCACTACGTACTGCGCAAACTTTCACACGATATCGATATTCACTTGTGAACTCTCTCAGAGAAAAAAAAAAACTGCTGAGCTAGTTTCATGAGAAAAACGGACCTACCTCGTACCGTTACAAAAAGGCAATTTTTCACGCCTGTCGGCCTTTGTTTGCATCTTCGAACTTTTTCTTTGTTATCGCGCGCCTCCTCGCAAATCTGAAGACTTTTTATTGAGCTGTGATCAAAAACCAATTAAACAATAGACGGTAACATTACGCAAGTGCGGATACAAGTAGTGAGATAGGATTTGGTGTATAAGGCCCGTATGCACGTACATCCCCGCTGGGGAGGGGAGGGGATATGAGAGGGAATGCGTCATATCTCGCTACTTCACGTATCTTTCTTCTTCCTTCTCTATCTTGCTTATGAAGGTTCTCACGTCCTAATACCTGCGCATAATTGATGCCAGGTTACTGGCATAATTTATTGGATTTCTACTAATTTGTGTGATCCCCTAGGGGTCCCCAGGGGATCACCTCTCAATTTCAGTGCCATTTATCTACCTGAAAACTCAATGAAAACGCTTAAAATTGTACTGTAGATATACTACGGCACTGCAAAAGACGTTTATAGTAGAAATAAATGAAATCTCAGGATATCGAAGTACTCGCGAGCCACGGATCATCGGAAATTCACAACTTTCAGATTCTATTTCTCCTGTCGAAATCATGCTTAACAGTGCCGTAGTATACCCTCAGTACAACTTTGCAGCGTTTTTATCGAGTTTTCAGGAAGGTAAATGACATTGAAATTGAGAGGTGATTCCCTGGGGATCCCAGGGGATAACTCAAAATAGTGAAAATCTAACCAATTATGCCAGTAACCTGGCATCAATTATGCGCAGGTATTAGGGTATGAGAACCTTCATAATCAAGATAGAGAACGAAGAAGAAAGATACTTGGAGTAGCGAGAATGACGCATCTCCTCTCAGATCCCCTCCCCTCCCCAGCGGGGATGTACGTGCATACGGGCCTAAGAGCCAAAAAGGATCTTTGCAACCCTCCACTGACCAAGTTAACTTTCATTGGAATGAGCTCAAGGGATAACATCCCAGATTAAACTTATAAGAAGTTATTGATTACAGCAATATCGAAAAGTCGGGTACACATCTGTTACTGATAGAACAACATCACTACAATGATTTTTCAGTTCCGACCATTCTGACTCTTCAAAAAGTAAATGCAACCAGCAAATCTCAACTAATACCTGGCAAATCATTCACATTTAAAGTATAAGATTAGGAAGAACGTTAAGCAAGAGGAGAAATACACGTTGGTAAAAAGAACGTGTAAAGTGCTAGCTTGATTACTCGCTACTATACAAATAAAGTCATCGTCTCGTAACTAAAACATATCCATATCGGGACAACGAGTTGACTGGTCTCAACTTTGATAGTATATAGCTTTGTTTCATCTGGGTTTCAACTCTCAGATCATCATTTTCAGAAGCATACCAGAATCGTTTGGGAGATCTACACATTTTTTGGAGTACGAGCCCAGCAGAAAAAAGTAGGCTATTACTTGGAAGCGCGTTCTGAGCCCAAAGATCATTTCGTTATGCAAAAACACTACCTACCTTCTTCAAAGAATCAGCGACATCCTCGTCCTCTTCGCCATCGGAAGGTACATTACTGGGCTCAGCAGCTGAAAAAAAAGCACGTAGCCTCCTTGGTCAAAAAACTAGCAGATGCTTGAAGGACTGAGAGTGTAACATCTCCGAAAACATTTCATCTTGTGTGTTTCACTCTCACCACCATTTGTGACAGAAAAAGGAATGCATTTTTAATAATGCTTTGAAAAAACAAGTAGAGAGTACTTGGTGCACAAAAGAGAGCTTCAGTTCTATCTTTAAGCCGTAGTACTGACCTTTACCGTCATCCATCAGATGGTCGATAATATTGTATGCTTCCGCGATAGCCTGTTTTTCATGGTTGTCACATGTGATAAGTAGTCCGCTAATATTAGGTTCAACGCTCTTCTGCTTCGTGCTAAAAAAGTGATGTGTCAAAGTTTCTATGGAAGTTGCCAGCGACTCGATTCAAAAAATCAACATAGAAAAAATGCCACAACCGATAGCTTCATCAAAAGTGTATTTCATGTAACTATAGGGCATTCGAAAAATGGTGACGATGGCGCGACCGCGCGCAACACGCACGCACTCCCAATTCTTGGATTCTATCTCTACTCAAATAGTTTTTCTGTTTACATATGATAGTACTCAAGCACTAAAAGTGACTGAGCTTAGCGCTGAGGTGTTGCCTGTTTGTATGGGTGTTTTACCCTTCTGTGTGCGGATAGACCGCAGTCAACCAGTCGTCACGATTTTAAAAATGAACCATAGCAAACGTGGGCAGGCGAGGAAATTCGACAGAAAAAATCGTGTTTACAAAAAAGTTTTGAAGAAAAATACAAATAGCAAAATACAGAAGAACAAGTAAAACTACAAAACAAAAATGTCACCCTTTTTCAAGAAAGTCTCAAAATGACTCACGCATTATTCCAACAGTACTTTCGCTTTCTCGAGTTCCTATCGCCCATTCTACAAAAACTGATAATCATGCAAGCACGCATCAGATGTATGTGACAATAAATCATTCACAAAGTGCACGCAAGAACAAGAAAAAAAAACGTAACCAAAACTAAATACTCAAAAAAGATAAAAGAAACCAAAGGCCGCTATCCGCACGAAAACGAAGGTAAGCTTCAGCTTATTTCCTGAGGAGATATCAAAGATGGGTATCGGAAAGCATGCAGTGAATGCGCACCGGTAAAAATTATCAGTTACCTTGACTGGAGTGCTTTCTCTAAGAAAGATGGGAGAACCAGAGATGGGGGATGCTTGCACATTGTAAATAACCTACCAGCGAAGCGGGAGCATAAAACATGGTTTTCCTCCATGATAGAAACGTACAGCAAAAAAAGGAAATCTCGTTTGCAAGCTCTACTCAACACTCAAACTTTCGAGCAAGAAATCTCAGAACACTAAATGCGGAGACTTTAACTCTAAATCAAGGGACAGTTTGGGGCACGAGCAGAGGTTGGAATTTAAATCACATCAAATGACTTTCTACAAGACTGTAGGTTTCAGATTGGAAAAACAGTGGAAAATAAGATCAACGAGAGAAGCAAATTACAAGAATGAGAGATTAAAACCTGTATTCTCGTTAGCTTAATGAATACAAGAGAGGTTGATGATGTGACTGAAGTGAAAATGAAAACTGCAGCATTAGGCTTTTGTAATCTCCCTCAGATGAAAACAGCATGAAGCAGAAGGAATTCTTTCCACCTTATGAACAAGAAAATTAGCAGAGTTTTCAGATAAACAGAACATCGAATGCATATAGGTTGTAATGTTTTTCTGTGTCCATATGTCCAATGTCCATATATCAGTGTGGATAGTAAGTCAATTTATATTGTGTAGGTAGCAAGCATTTCTCTTCAACACCATTATAAAAAGGAACAACGGACAGAAGAGGAAATTGTAAACGATCGTTGTCCCAGAAATGCAAATTAATCAAAAAGCAAACGCTTTGGGAATATCCGAATTGTAAATTTGTTGTGAAAATTCTGTGCTCGAGAGGCGGTAATAGTTCAAAGCGAAGCGAAATTATATTATTCAAATGGCAAAGATGAATTATTTGAGGTCGTGAAGAATCGGAGATTAGACTGGAGGTGTATGCGCATTGAGAGGGCAAGAAACGCACGCACATATTCCAGCTTTTGAAGAATTTGTAGAATATGCACACAGTCTTCAAATAATGAGAATCACAAAATCCACGTGAAAAATAAAACCCAAATGTGTCTTCACAAGACTATGAAACCTATGGAAAGGCGACATAGGAGTTGATATGGAAAGGCGACATGATTGTGATGAACATAACACCGAAAACCTGACGAAGGAAAGATTCAAAAAGAAACTCCTAAAAGAAACTAACCGGTTCTAATCGTAGTGGGAACCTACTGTCCCAATCATCGGGGCTTCTGTGGTCCTCCATACTCCACTTCAAAATATCAAGCAGGTCAGTGTTTTCTTCTACAGTTGTAGAATGATGTCAAGACGATCCACTTGATGTGCTAACGGCTAACGGCTCTATCCCCCGTCGACAATGCAAACCTGGTACGGAGCGTGAGCGGGTTCGTTGGCGGGGTCCGAAACGGGTTACGGCGACACTTGTCGCGCCGTCGTCGTCTTCGTCGTCGATGTCAACGGCTAGCTGTCCCGCAAGCGATCTCTTACCCCCATCAAGCAACATCATCAAAAGACCGGTTCAATGTTAGCTCTATCTCGGCTTCATATCGCTTCACAACAAACCATTTCGGAAATTGCATAACGATGGCACAGACCGATACTGCCTGCTAACTAGTTCAGAAATTAATCACCACATTAAGCCGTATGGCAAAGGAGCAAACCAGCTTCTAATTCACTGCCGAGACGAATTGGCGACAAAAAACAGTTAGTTGAAGGCTCGTTAACCCCCGAAGAACTTGACTGAACTACTCAATTTCAGCTACTCAACAATCAGCTTTCACTCCGATTTGCCAAGGATACTCTTCTTTCATCCTAATCATCCAGTTTCAACGTACGCGCTACCTTGACGACTTTTAACCTCTATCACAAAAAGTTAGATCCTATAAGCCTTTCAGAAAGCAGTTCGATACCAACTTAGTTAAAGAAGTAAGCTAGCAGAATTCCAGAGCAGCGAATAGTAAGAAACAGCGTGAATAATGAAGACAAGAGGAATGATTAGCTGATAGAATAAATGATGAAAAAGAGCTAGACTGTCAAAATGCGATTCAAGTTTGTCAAAAAGTTTTATAACGTGCTTTAGGGAGAAGAGGATGACAAATGGTCGAAAAGAACCAAAGGAGATAGGGATAGGGAATTCCAAAAGATAAGAGAATGGCTGAGCAGAACGAAGAAAACACGAGTTTGAGAAAAATACTCCTCTTTAGAGGGAAGATGATATTACTGAGGACACCTATAGGCAAAAGAAAATTAATCTGATTTCAGAACCCCTCGACTGACTCAAAGAATTTGCTTAACAAAGTGTGACAAGCGCAAAAGAAGCCCTAGCGAAGGCAAAAACAGAGAAAAATATTTGAAAACCAGATCAGCTGGAGCCGTCACGCAGCCGCACCGCAACGCAAAATCTCAGTCGAGCACCAAAGTTGAGCTGGAGAAGGTTTGCCGTGTGTTTTGTAGCCTGGCTTTTGGCAAGAAACTCGATCTGAATATTCGACTAGCATTTGTATGAAAGTTATTAGAGCCTTATCTTGCGCAGTACTGTAGCAAGACATCATTAGTTCAGTAAGCCCAAAACAAAGAACAGCGCGTTTGTGCTTTTTTTGAAATCAGATCAAATCGCATGGCAAATGGGCCATTGTGCATTGCTTTTTTCATGGATTCAAAAGTTTAAGAATGCCTGCAAGGATCGGAATGTGATCCTGTCATGAAGTTCTGTGGTTTCATTGTTAAACCCATTTTAATTGAAGGTCTTGAGTATTAAAGAATTTAGAGTGGCCCGAACACTCATCAACTTTCTAGCAGTAGTCCAACTTGCATGTAAGTACTCTATTCTTTTGATTTCCAGAAAAAATAAAGGGACTCCTTCTATCGACTGACGCGAAACCTAATTGTCACTATCCATCTTCAGCGGAGATCTCCTTGCGTTGAAGTTCTTCGAAGTTCCCGGGATTTGATTCGGTATTCCAGTTCATCGGTCGCTTTCCATTCTTGTCAAGCGTGTAAGTTCAGCAGAAATCTTCCCGACACTTCGCAACGATCTAAAGGAAGAATCTGGAAAGAGGGCTACGCGCTAAACATATTAGATAACAACGATGGACTATATAGCTCTGGCGTATAAAGAGGATTTGGGGGGGGGGGGGGGACTACAGTTTGAGGAAGCTGCTTTTGCATCTCATCAGGCTTCCTTTTCTCCTCATGTCTAATGGTTTGAAGAAAGCGTTTGGGTGTCTTCTTCGTGGGAATTCCTCACTCTTGACTTGTATACTGCACTTCCTTAGCTCATATTTGCGCCGAACAAGCTGAAAGCTGAAGAAAATGCGCCAGAGATGCTCTGCCCAAGCCCAACTGCCTCACATCTAGTTATGCTGCTTTGATCATTCGAAAGTAATTCTAGGCTTGGCTTATGTAACAAATATGAAACCCATCTGCAACTCGCTTGCCTCTGTTCACAGTAACCAAACGCCAACAAAACATGAAGTACTTGACAAAAAATTTATCAAGGAAGCAAGTCATGTAAAGACAGTAAAAAAGAAGGTGGGGATGCTCAGAGCATGTTTATCTACTTTCGATCTACAATGGCCAATTTATTGAAGCGAGCACCCTCAAATGAAACGTACCATATATATTTAAAAATATATTAAAGAAACCAGAAAGTGACGATATGGGTCATAGCAAGTCATGATAGACCTTCACAGAAGAGGAACACAAGTCAATGAAAATTAGGATAATGCGTATCACAACTCAGCGACTACAGATGAAAGATGAAAAAAAAAACATATTAGTTCCACATGTAACTTAGTAGACTGGATATATACTTTATTTGAACTTCAAGACGACTTTATTGTATTTCAAACAGCTTTACTTCCGTGTCATACCAGATTGGAGGGTCGGTGTTCCTGGAATATGTTTCGTTAGAGCAAAAGATTGTAAAATACGCTCGTTCAAGGCATAGACTGGGATGATAATCTGAAAAGCTTGTAAATATAATCAGAACTGTATTATCAGCGTTCTCTAAAAACGGTGTCAAAGTAATAAAAATAGGACGAAGACAGCATGAGTTCCTACAAATGAAAGGAAAAGGTTTTTGCTGGTATACACGCGAGGAGCCAACACAGCTCTTACAGATTAAAGAATTCTGGCGATTATACTGTAAAAAACTATAACTGCTCCCTACCTCAAGTAGATCACACCCCACATATATGTTCTGAACCAGTGATTCGTTCCTGCATTTGCTTGATATTTTCTGATAAGAATCGGGTGTGGTACCGGCAGCAAACCCACAAGAGTGCCATGTTGCAAGAACTTCAGTATCTCACTCTCATCAGTGAGGCCTCTGGGAAATCGAAGTAAGATCACCGATAGGTTTCTATGTAGATAGAAAGCTTACTTATCGATGCAGATCTTCTCCACTTGAGGTACAAGAACTTGAAGAAGACGCATAATGGTTTGCAAAGGAAGCTTCGTCTTCCATTGTTCTGCCCATTCAGCGGTGGGCACCCAGTCTAAAAGCTGCAAAATGTGACAGCACTATAGCAAAAACATGGCTTACCTTCTCCCGGTGCTGGTTTCTCATCTGTGGCATCAGAGCTTGATGGTGTACTCGTCACTTGAGGTGTGGCAGCCAATGCAGCTGTGGTGCCTACAAAAATAGAAAAATACTCAAAAAATCCTTTGGGAAACAGTTTAAATCTACCTGTAGGGATCTCTGGAGCAATGGGTGAAGTTGGGCTCTTTAGCTGATCTACCATTTCCTCTCTAGCTGCAACGGGATCAGTTTCGCAAAAGGCAAATAATCGACATTTTCTGAGAACTTGTAGTTTTCGTAACAACAATATTCAGACTAGTCATGTACTTGCCAACTACAGTAGAAAGATCCTATACAAATTACTCCACTTACCTTTTCCTTTTCTTCCTGAAAGTGTCTTTGATATCGAAGCTGAATCTGTCTGTAAGTTTGCCAGCTGGTAGAATACCTGACGCTTGCGTATTATGGTATAAATCAGATTGGAATTTCCTATAATCATTTATATGTGCAACAGCAGAAGAAATTTCAAAGCAAACCAACCATCAAACTGGTATTGTACAATGTTGTTGAATACTTCTAGTAGGAAGAAGACTAGATGGTGATTAGTAGGGGATGAGAATAAGAACCAAGGGGTGGAGAACGCTTCGACTAGGTGAAGCAGCTTATTGGCGGCTACCATTGATAACGATTTCAAATATGGAGATACTGGAAGGAGCATTATTGTAAAATAGGAAAAAAAATCGCAGATAATGAACATGCTTACCATTAACAATGATAGTAAGTAAACAATCGAATAATGACTGAAGTCGATGATTTCCAGTAGTTATCAACTTATGGAACACCTAAATGGCAGATATGATCCACCATACACTAGAAACGTAAGCCACGACTAACTATGATTAGTAGGTCAGCATGTGTACCAGTGAAGGATTGTATATCAATGGCTGCCTTGGCGATGTATGGTTTATTGAGCCGAACACCGAAATTGCGTTCTCCACTCAGCAAAAGCACGAGAAATACGCCCATGTGAATTAGACCAACGCGTGCTGAAAAGGAAAAAAATTGAAAAAAAAGGACAGTAACAAAACGTCAGCAACGTCTACACTCACTCGGATCATTCCTGGACTCAGTGATGTGGTACAGAATGGGAACCAATATCTCAAGAACATCAGATGTTTTTAATACGTAGAATAAGAATTTCTGGAAATAAAAAATTGCATGATTACACAACAACAAAAAATATGGGTGTGCGATTCAACTAGCAAATTCTTACCTGATTATATTCACAACATTTCCATAGTAGCACGAGTAACTCTTGATGAAAGTTTACTTTCTTAGCAGAATTTGGGAGATAAGTCGATTGCAAAGGGTTACTCAGTAACCTCGTTATGCCCTAAAGTAAGAGTTTTTGCGCCAAAAATATATAGCAACGATGAAAGATCTACCTTAAGCATGAAGTCGAAATCTTCTTCGCGGTGAATTCGACCAAGATAATTTATGAAATAATTGTCCGAGTAACCAGTATCATCAGTCTGTGGTTGACTATCTTTATCCAGACAAACGATGAGAACCTGCAAGGTAGTGCAGAAGTGGAAACGAGAAGTGTGGGATATAGCACCAAGAATAAGTTCAAGAAATCTTGAAAAAAAAAGGAAATTTACGCTACCGAAGTATTCTTACCTGCAGCGCGGCTTCAACGAGTGGTTCACGAGAATCATTGAAAAGTAAATAGTTGTACGGAAGGCCCATGCCAACAGGATCGTAAGCACAGACAATGTTTAGCAATGAGGTAAATAACGGCAACACATTCCTATTTTCAGCGGATGTGAAGTGAGCGACCCAGCGAAGTCGACTCTCATCTAAATTACTTCATCCAAACATACCAACCTTGTAAGAAAAGATTAACATACCAGTTATGGGCGCATAGATAACTTCCGAAAAGCAAGTCAGTAATAATTTGAGGATTTCTGTACGATTTTGGTCATGCTGGGCACTAGAGCTCGGCTTATTTGCAAATCCAACTCCAGCTTCCCAAATAAGCTCACAAGTCTCGAGTGACGCAAGGTCATCCACTTTTTCCTAAACATATATGCGATAAATGCGACTACAACTTCCGCAAACTGAGCACTAAGCTGCCTAAAAAAGTAGGTTGAACCCATGCCTACCTTCGAATACACTGTAAAACCTGGACAGAACAACAGATCGCAAAGTATACCAAGTAGTACGCTAGCCATAGGCGTTTGTCCATCACCCTGGCATGATACATGGCTTTCGATATGACAGAAAACATGACAGAAGGAAAGAACTTACGGTTGGTACCGAAGACCAGAAATACCCTCTCCACTCTGCATCTTCAAACATGTATGGAATAAGTCTAGTTAGGAGCCGTATACAGTTGATTACCTACGAAAAGTGATAGTTTTAAAGGCCGCATGTAGTGATTAATCGAAGCCTCTCGGAAAACAAATATAAATAAACTCTCACCTTTCTTTCGTTTAGTTCACTCGGATGATCTCGTGCATACTGTAATTTTTCAAGTGTTTTGTAGCACAAGGTAGCAAGATTTTTGGGCGAATCATCTCTGAACAATGATGAGAATAGGCTATGACAGCTTTGATAACGTGGGATATAGAAAAAACCAACGTGGATAAATGGATGTAATGTAGAAAAACATAAATTTCGGAATATCTGATTATCGATCTACCTTAGCTTTCTGACGTCATCAGCTGGGATCATAGCGAAGACATCACTGACGCTATGAACACTATCAGGTGACCATAATTGTTCCCAGAATGAGTCGTCATCCTGTGAATTAGATTATACCATTTGCAACCAAGGTACATAGAGTATCAAGTATGGCCAGATAAGCTTATAATGCTCCAACTGTAAACCAGTTCATGCCTCTTAATTCAGAATTATGCGAAGGTAATTTACGAAGAATTTTGGAGAATTACAGCTTCATATCTTCAAATTATGCCGTAAACCTACTTCGATAGTTAGAAACTGCATATTGAAGCTTTTATCGCACAGCAGGAGGAAATGTGCGTTCGCAACCACTATCAAACCAATAATGGGACAACAAAGTATTTAATGGATACGCACGATACCATCGCTGTCGAATACGATTGACTTATATAGTGCGTCAATTCCAAAAAATTTATTCTCACTAGAGATGAGAAAAGTAATGTACGAGCACGCTAACTCAATCATATCTTGAAAAATGCATTTAGACGCAACAGGATTGCTACGCTGTCCTACAATCTCCAAAACCGTTCATAAAAGTTTTCGTTATCAATGATACCAGAATTATTCTTGGTATCTCGAAATCTCAAGAAAAAAAAAGCGTGGAGACAACTACGTGTCTTTTCGAAACAGACCACTTCCAGAAATTTTGCGACTTATTTTCGGAAAGAGGAGCGCTCCAAGTCCCACCATTTTTTTTGGTTTTCGGCAATCCCTTAGCTCGTCATCTGATATAGGAGGCTGAGAAACTGCCGAATGAGAACATATTTTTTAGGGACTGTTGCGCATAAATAGAGTTTATTGTGCTTTGGCTGTTTGAAGTTAGGAAGCGTGATGACTTTGAAGGTCTCAAACCTTTATAAGCATCGTTCACTCTAATCAAAACAGGATTTTTGCACACTTCGCCTTCAAACACAGGTCCGATCAACGAGGAGATCACAAACATGTCGATTTTTGGAGAAATCATCAAGTGACTTCCAAGCTTTTCCAAGCTTCCATGCTTTCAATGACTTCCAAGCTCCACAATCGCGAGAACAACAGGGCAAGCAAAAGTGGATAAAGAAACCCCCATCATGGTAGATCCGACAGCGAAGGACAGATCCGGGCATGCCAGCTAATTGTGATGGGAGATCCAATGCGATCATAAACAACTTTTGACTTGTTCCACACGCTTGTTCTATACGCGCAGCAAGTCGCCTAGCTTAATTGTAAGAATGGAAGGATGAAAGACGCACAAGCTCCTTTCGGCGGGAAGGGAAGGAGGCGGGGGGGGGGGGGGGGGGGGGGGAGGTAGGCAGAATCTTTGCTGCAGAGGTTATGTCAATTTAACCAAATTGTTTCTTCTGTTTTCTGCCACGACTTCCTGACAGATACCAAGTAAAGATGAAAGAAACTAGCACTACTTTTGAATTCGGACTTCCTATACGCCCTCCATCCAGCCGCCCCTCATGAGACCGTCGGCTGGAGCATCATATCTCTCTATTTTTAGACAATCAATCTTTTTGACTTACAAGTAATAAAAATACAAATGGTTCTAAAAGATAATCAAAAAAGAATATGTTAGGGTGAAGCATAACATCTACAGAAAGAAAAAACAAATAGTGATAAGATTAAACCTGTACCCACCTGTTTGCCTGGTTTTGAAGTGAGATCAATCACGGCTTGCCGAAAGTTCACCTTACTACCCTGGGCACCCATTCTGAAATGTTTTATTTGAAATATCTCGTATTATGCTGCTGAGGACTGACACCGCTTCGGAACCCAGAAACGAGTGAAATAAGTTGAGATCGATAGAAACTAAAAAATTTATGCAACGTTGTAAACCCAGAGAAAAAAAACAACGACACATATCGAACTGCCGACGTCTGTCACAGCGACGTCATTTGCATAACTTGCGTCCTGCAGCGCTCGCCCTGCCCAGCAGGCCAATTGTCAGTACCAGCCGACAATGTGCTGCTGTGAATCTCGACACGTCTGAAGTACTGCTGTTCTTTTCCAGCTCTGGTTTCTACTTATTGAAATTCTTATTGAGTACTTTCATGGAATCTATATTCACACAAACTATCTGATAAAGTCTGAGAAATTTTGAATCCCTCAATTTTTCAGGAAAAATGGGATTATGTAAGTGTCCAAGAAAGAAGGTGACGAATCTTTTCTGCTTCGAACATCGAGTCAATGTTTGTGAGCATTGTTTAGTGGAAAATCATCATGGGGTAAGTCCTGGAGCAGATAGCTTCATTTTTTTAACATATCGATTTTTTTATCTTTACTTTTTGTTTGTTTTGCTGTATCGCCTTGTTGTTTCATATCGACGAAGCTCTTCTCTTTATCGCTCTCTTTACTAGAGCACTTCCTATAAACAACACAATTCTTTTTCTTTGGAGCTGACGTCCTTGCAGATGTGGGTAATTGAACCTTTTATGTGAACACGGTTCTGAGCGCTTAGCTGTTGACCAAGTGGCCCCACAATATCGCTCATGGCCAAAAAATGAGACTGTAAATTCAATCCTTAGACGTATTTTTTCTAAGCGGACCCCGATCTCGAGTACTGCAGGAAGTACGCCTTGGGCTGGAGTTTAGAGTTGATCTGGGCCACGAATGAATCATATGAGCCGCATGGGGAATGGTCCATTCAAAGGCACCGTCCATCCAGATTCCCGACTTCCAGGTTTTTGTCGTTTCAGGACCTTCTCATGTCTCTGTTTCCGAATATGAAGTCGAGAATTCGCGAAAACCCCGACAATCTCCGTTCCGGAGAGACCACAGGCCGTCTTTTCGGAACGGTGATGGGCGCGCACGCAAGGGTGGTCATGAATGGGGAGGTTGTGCCGTCTGGGGTCCTTGTGCATCTTCGTCACTCCGGGGCGATTTTCTTTCCGAAGCGGCATTTTGCGTCGCAACTCGGGTATTGGCTTGATAGGGGGCCCTACTATCATATGTTGCCTATGAGCTCAACATCCTCAACTTAGGGTGGACGGTGCCCTTGAGCTCTCTCATTCATCTTCTTGCTTAAGTAACCGAAGATCCATTCCTATATATAACCTTGAAGACAGAGTTGGCAGGCAAGATGTGACCTTTAACATTAGGGATTTCAAGTTGTTCTAATAAGGATAAGTGCTAACTTGGCTTTTATCATCTACTGTCTCTCTCGGAAATAGATTTCGAGTGATAAGAATTAGTAGTTGCGGCATTACTTGCGTAAGTTAGATTTATAGCTGTAAGTGGCTCGGTTTTGTTGTGTAATTTTGAGTTATACCGCCGTCAGTTCTTGAGCCATCTGCTATAAACGGAATAAAGGAATTTTTTGTTGATTGTATCAATGCGATGACTTTTTCAGAGGACAGCGCTAATAAGTGATTGGATGTGCAATAATGTTCAACAATGTTAGTGCCATATTCTAGCCAACCATGTTCGACTAGTTTTGCTGAAAAACCTTTAATCTTGATCTCACCTATGCAATTCATCTCATCTACACATTAATGTCGGCTCACAGTTATTCCTATCATTTTTCCAGTGTGTGGTCCAAAGTTACCTGCAATGGCTCACTGATTGTGATTATGACACAAACTGCTCACTTTGCGAAAGACCGCTCGCTGAAGCGGAGACCATTCGTCTGCAGTGTCTGCGTAAGTTACCATATTTTAACTTTTCGTATTATTACATAAGTATTGTTGCCAGATCTTCTTCATTGGTCATGCCTCGACCAATGGGCTCGACGTTTTCCTGCCACCACGGCACCTGCTGGCTATTGTTGCCCATTCTGTCGGTAATTTCTATGCATATATTTTCACTTTTTCTGTATTGAAGTCAATCTTTGTCGTAAGCTTAGAAGAATTTTTAGTTGATGGTCTTATCTCTGCTGTCTATGTTGCTTAATGACGAATTAGGGCGATGATCTAATCGTCTTTGAGCGATGAGACAATTAGAAAGGGTGACACGTTTCTGCACCGCCAATATAACTCTTGATTTTGAACTTACATGGATCAGTGAGGATGAAAAGCAAGTATCTGCTTATTATGCATGTTTAGTGAGGCACTCTTCCCTGCGTTGAACCAGACTTCTCCTATGATTGACGAACTCCGTGCGAAACTCCAGCAGGCAAACTGGGCACGAGCAGGCTTGGGATTGCCCCTTGTGAGTTATCTTGTCTCTAGCCGTACATGTGTTGAAATTATTCACATGTATTCTTAGTTACCTGAACTCGATCCACCACATATGCCACCCCAACAGACGCATACTCCCGGGCCACAGAAAATGCAGCAGTTCAATGGAATGGCGAATGGTGGTCCATACCCAATGCAGAATCATAATCAGGCTCATAATGATCGGTATAAATCTACTAAATTTGAACTTTCAAATTTTGTCAGAAGAAAATTTTTCAGGTCGGGAACAGCTACTCCTGAAGTGGCTTTGGAGATGGATGATGTTGCTTATTCCGGGAAGAGAGAGCAAGTGACGTTTACCTGTAGGTTTTTTCAAAGTTTTTTGCTTTAAATTTTTTTTTGATATGAGATAGTTTAGCACGCAAAAAGCATGGCGGTGCTTCCGAGACAGACATGCAGCCGCTACTATCAAGGACAAATGATCGAGATGTGGATAGCGAACATAACAAATACAAAAGACGGCCTGCAAGAGAATGGTTGAGGGGGATTTGGAAGTAAGAGTTTATAGTCAAACTTTCATCCTTTTTTTTGTTTACTTGCACGATTTTTCTTTTCAGAGCAAAATACGGAAATACTACTGCAAGCCATATATCTGGATACAAGCGTGTTTTGATTTTTGTACTTTTCATACTTCTCATAATGATTACAGTGTTTGTTGTTCTCCATAGGATTGGCCTAGACGCAAGCGAGGATCCTATGCTTGATCCAATGAATAATCCTAATATCCGTGTAGCCGTCGAAGGAGGTGTTGCGGATTCGGTGCAATAATTCTCTTAAACAAATTTCTTCGCTTTTCTTGTGATGTCCTCTTCGATGCCTTCATTATGTATGTATTTTATGGCTTGAATCGCTCAGAGGCAAGAAAGTGCGGGCTGGTACCTTAAGGATGAAATCAAATCGAAAACAAATGATGCACCTTTTTTCTGAGCTCTTGGGGTTTTATTGGTAAGGTTAATTCTACAAATTATATCATTCGCACATTCACTGTGTAGTATTAGAGGCTTTGTTAGGCTTGGCCTCCGCACCCATTCCATTTTTCTCTTCTTCATGAGAAATATTTTCCCAGACTATGTTGATTGTGTTTACAGCCACAATAGGTGCACTTTTTAGTCTAAATCACTCTATCTTCTTTCAGCTTGTCCTTCTCCCAAGGTCCTTGAAAATTTGCTGTAACCAAGAATTCTTGGGTGCTACCTTGACTCATATTGTTCCTGGGTGTAACATCCGCTGTTTTTTATTCCCCTGCCTTCTTACTATCATTGGTCGTCTGTTGTACACATCTAATTTATTATCTGTGATATGTACGTTAGTAACACATTTAGTAACTACAGGAGCGTATTATTGGGTGTCATCCGCAAGAAATCAGATAAACATCTTAACATCTCACTTTTGACTTTTGTCAAGAATTGGTTCAATGCACCACAATTGTTTTTGGTAGTTGCAAGTCGTGATTCATTATTGGTTTTCAAGATGTGCTCAAACATTTTTTTACGTCGCAGATCATGCACCGCGTCGGCTCGGTAGCGCGCTTGGCGCGCTGCGGCAGTGCGGCATGCCGACGCGCGCAATCAACCGCGGCAGCTCCGCAAAAAATCGAAGTATTCATTGATGACAAGAAGTTACTTGTAGATCCTGGGCTTACTATCCTACAGGTAAGAGTTTGTTCTCATTTTTTTTCGAGTAGTCTATACCCCAGAATTTGGTGGATGGTAATACAAATCTATCGTGAAAGGTGTCCAGGCAATTAGGGATACCTGAGTTCTCATGCAAAAATTGATTGAGAGGTCTTCACTGAGCCAAGACTTCAACTAGGCCATTGACCATTCCCTCGTTCAAATTATTGGTGGCCGAACAATACAGGCCTAAATTGCTGTCCATACCGTACTCTTTGAGTGGCAATCCACTTTCCAAGCGCGGTATTGGGCGAAGGTTCAGAGTTGAATTTCTCGGCCGCGGACGAGCTTTATGACCTGTCCGGCAAGTGGAGGATTCCCAGTCACTATGGCTCCATGTCAGGAGTCACGCCGCGCGCCGCGCCGCTTCGCCGCGTACGTCGCGTCTAAACTTTGTACCCCACAAAACTGCCCGGTGCTGAAGTGGCACGGCGCCAGTCTAGGGGGGTGGGGGTGGGGGCAGACATACATGGCTTCTGCCATAAGTAAGACTGCGCGAAGTGTGCGGCTTCTGTTCTGCTGACATCGCCTGCGGCATCGCTTCGCGAAAAATTCGCGCCGACCGTGACTCCTGACCGTTCCCCGTCACTAACTTTGTGGGGTACAAAGTTTAGACGCGACGTACGCGGCGAAGCGGCGCGGCGCGCGGCGTGACTCCTGACATGGAGCCGTGACGGGGAACGGTCTGACATCGCCTGCGGCATCGCTTCGCGAAAAATTCGCGCCGACCGTGACTCCTGACCGTTCCCCGTCACTATCCACGTGTAAAGACCAGCACCAAAATTTTGAATACTGCTCGCAGAGATTGTTTGCTCTGTTCTTGCCAATAAATTGTTTAGGCATGTGCTCTCGCTGGTGTAGATATTCCACGTTTCTGCTATCACGATCGTTTATCGATTGCTGGCAATTGCAGGATGTGCCTTGTTGAAGTCGAGAAAAGCATCAAGGTTTCGTTCATTGGATACAGGCGTTCAAATATGGAAAAAATATTATTTTACAGCCTGTCGCATCTTGCGCAATGCCAGTGATGAAAGGAATGAAAGTGAAGACAAACTCGGATTTCGCTCGTAAAGCTCGTGAAGGTGTGATGGAATTCTTGCTAGTGAACCATCCCCTAGACTGTCCCATATGTGATCAGGTTAGTCGATTAACGATTGCATTGATATATGACCTTGCACCGTATTCAAAACAAACTCTCTATTCTGTCATAACTACCCAGCTTCCAAAGTAAACAAATTAGGGAGGTGAATGCGATCTTCAAGATCAGTCAATGGCTTTTGGCAGCGATCGCAGTCGTCTTCGTGCTACATACGACGGAAAGAGGTATTGTTTGTCATGTCTTAAGGGTTTTTTTTTCATTTCCTCGTTCTGTGATTAGTTCAATCCAGCATTCATAGAAGAGTGCTGTTTTCAGAGCTGTTGAAGACAAGAACATCGGTCCTTTGATCAAGACCTCCATGAATCGCTGTATTCACTGCACTAGATGTGTTAGATTTGCGAATGAGGTAGCTGCTTTCCCCGAGTTTGGAACTACCGGACGCGGATTTGATTTGCAGGTCTTTTCATATTACTTTAGTTCATCATTTTCTTTTCTCCTTTCTATCCTGCTGTGCTTTTTCATTCTTTTTTTACCACGAAATCTCCTCAAATACAGCTCATGACTATATTGCAGATTGGAACTTACGTAGAAAAGCTTTTTGCATCCGAGTTATCGGGTAATGTTATCGATCTCTGCCCCGTTGGTGCTTTGTTGAGCAAACCCTACAGGTTCGTTGCCTCGTTGGTAAAGTTTGATAACAGAAGAAGCTGTATTTTCAGCTTTACTGCTCGACCATGGGAGTTACGAAAGACTGAAAGTGTTGATGTTATGGATGCTCTTGGTTCAAATATTGTAGTCCATCATAGAGGAGGCGAACTGATGCGGATCAATCCGAAAATGAACGACGTAAGTTTGTTGCTTATTATTGAGTTTTGGACAATTTTTGTTATGACTTTGTAGCTGGTTGATGCACAAAAGAGTTGAGGTGCCAAAAATTTGTATACTTCATTTCTTATGTAAAGCTTACTGGTTTTCTAAAGCTTTCTGACATATGTCCTTAGGTGTGAAGACCCCATGACCTCCTCGCTTAAAACCGCGAGCGCTCAGAAGCGACAGTATACCCATCGCGCGCAAGTTTCGTTGCTGGATAGCTCTTTTGGGCGTATTTGAGCGAAGTTTGGCGGGAGCTTGAGGAATTGCATAGGCATCAGCCTCGTAGTCAACCGGTTTGAGAATGACTTGCAGTAGTAGTTGAATTTTCTTATGTAAGTGCTTCCATTAGACTCCCGTGAAGGCAAATTTACAGGAGGTAAATGAAGAATGGATCAGTGACAAAGCGCGTTTTTCGTACGATGGTCTAAAAACTCAGCGTCTTATTTGCCCTATGATAAAGGATCAAAGCGGTGTCTTGAGGTAAGAGATTGATTTTGGTGTGTTATCGCTTCTCTTACTGGTTAATCATAATCCAGGCAAGCCTCATGGGAAGAGACTCTGTTCACAGTTGCACAGAAGTTCCGTGAAACCCCGGCTGAACAGAAAGCTGCTGTCATTGGAGGACTGGTAGATGTTGGTAAGCGGCTTATAGTTCGGATGTAGATGCTTTTGTGACCTATATGCTTTTGCTTCCCCAAAAAGTGTTTTTTCAGAAGCGATGGTTGCCCTGAAAGACCTTTTCAATCGCTTCAATTCGGAAAATGTTTGCACTGAAGAAGAGTTCCCCGGCACATCTGACTTGAGGTTGCCTTTTTTAGTGAAATGTCCTTCAAACTGGAAAATTGTTATCATTTTCAGATCGAACTACATCATGAATGACTCAATCGTAGGCATAGAGAGTTGTGACGCTCTTCTGCTTATAGGCAGCAATCCTCGATATGAAGCTCCTGTACTCAATGCTAGGATCAGAAAAGCGTAAGTAGGGTTACGTTCAGTCGAAAAGAGTCATAATCTCACTAGCCTCTAGTTCTCGATGCAATCCTTCGTTTAGATATTTGTATACTGACATCGAAGTGGGAGTTATCGGGGGACATTCCGATCTTACTTATGACTATGAGCAGCTCGGTGACAATGCAAAGGCGATTGATGACGTTATGGCAGGAAAGTCAGCGTTTGCTAAGGTTGGAAGCATTTTCTTGATTTCAATTTTAGATTTTTTAATGTATTGAAGCGTATTTTTTCTTAGCACCTTATGGCCGCAAAGAACCCTATGATCATTGTTGGATCAGCAGCTTTGCATGGGGAGAAGGGAGCTGAGGTTTTGGCGAAGGTTCAACAATTGGTGAGTTTTTGTTGGCCTTACTGCAGCTGAGAAGGACTGGGGAGGTGTTACAGGCTGATAAAGTGCGCTCGAGTGGCAAATGCGATAAGTCAAGGAAAGTATTCAACATTCTACATCAATGGGCCGGACAGGTTGGAGCTTTAGACGTGGGTATCCAGGTGAGGCTTTACGCTTGAGTTTTTTTTTTAATTTATTTTTTGCTTTCTTGCTCATTTTGAAGCTTCAACGTAAAGTCTATGCCTTCACTTGTTAAGGCTGGCACCGCAGCCATAAGAAAGAAGCCGATCAAGTTCCTGTACTTGTTGGGTGCAGATGAGGGTAAAGTTACGAGGCAAAACTTAGACCCGTCCGCTTTCATTGTCTATCAAGGTATGTAGTTTTCGTTAGCCGTTTTTGCTCTTTTCACTTCCAGTCTTGCAGGTCACCACGGTGATACAGGAGCAGAAATGGCCGATGTGATACTGCCAGGAGTTGCTTACACTGAGAAAGTAGGCACATACGTTAACACTGAAGGGCGAGTACAAAGGTGTGGTGAAGGTTTCTTTCGTTTGTGTGTGGGCTGCGTGTGGCTGATTACATGCAGAGAAAAGAACCAAGTTGAGTTGCAACCAATTTTTGATTGATTTCAGGACGATGAATGCAGCAACACCACCAGGTGAAGCTCGCGTTGATTGGAAAATCATTAGAGCTATCTCCGAAGTTGCTGGAAAACCACTTCCTTATGACGATTTGAAACAGCTACGGCATAGGATATCAGAAGTAAGTTTATCTAGGCTTCTTTAACTCAGGTCAAAATTTGATGTTTCACTCTCATACCGTGTTCTAATCATGACAATCAATCTATGATCGATTTCGACTTTCTTATTTTTCGCTGTATTCGCGTTCTGCATCAAGCTCTTTTTTGTAGTACATTCTTTGTCTGCGCTATGAAGTGTCTGCAGTATTGAAATCACGAATGTTGGGGTTTTGCTACTCATTAAAGTTTTGCTAGACGAGTTATCTGGGTCACGATTTGTGATTTTTGTAGTTTGGCATTTCATAGTATTTCTGTTATAGATCGCTCCCCACTTGGTACGATTTGGTGATGTTGAACAAGCTGGATATCTCAAGCAGGCTCTACAACTCACCAAGGTCCCGGTGAGCTGCCATTCAACATTCCTTGGTCTTACTGCCTCTAAAACTAGCGGTCAATAGAGCTGTTTCAGTCTTCACCCGTTGATGTTGATCTGACTCCAGCACAGAAGGTCTTAGCCGACTTCTATATGACCAATGTCATTACCCGTAATTCAGCTACAATGGCTAAGGCGAAGAATGCTGCCATCAGAGATATGGTAAGTATCAAGCCGAAATAATGTTTAGTTCCTTTTTTCGAGTAGATCTTTGAGCGCTCTCTTAGGCTCCGGCCAGACTTCGCTCAAAAGCGCCCAGAAGCGCTAAAAAGTGCCCAAAAGCGCCCAAATTTCCGCAATTCTCTTATCTCTCCCTTTACGAAAAAGTGAAGAGATACTAGAGAAATTTCGGCGCTTTTGAGCGCTTTTGAGCAAGTCTGGCTGATGCCTTAGTTCTGTTGTGTGCAGGTATCCTTGACTAATCAAAATGTTTCAGCAAAACCCTTATGTAGAAGAGATCAAACACCATGCGCATGCATAGGCGTTAGTCAGACTTGAGCAACACTGGTGGCAGATGCCCATGGGCAGTGATCTGTCGTTTAGAGTACCTAGTAATTACTTTCTCGACGACGTGTATTGTAATTATGCTTGTGACGTTGTTGATATTAGAGAGTAGATGTAAAGAAATAGTAAAGATTGTATTGGCGTTGAAAAGTTGGTGAAGTGTTTGGAGAAGAAAGCAGAAGATATAAATGTTGCTCTTAGTTATTGAAGCTTTCCAAAAAGTTTGCGTTTGTAAGCTGGTGCTGAAGAGGACAAGTTTCGATGGGACTGGAACAGTTGGGGAGATACGACGATGAAATTGCTGATTGTAACCAAAGAGAAGTGTCTAATTGTCTATAAATTTCAACATTTATAAGTTTGTATAGATTAGCGCAATTTTTGACAACAAAAAGAGGAAAGTTACAGAGTGAACACTACGAGAAAGGAAAACGTTTCAAGTTTGTGGCGTTCACTTTTAGGAAGCCCCTTGGTTATGTTTATGGCCGAGAGTTTCTGGCCGAGCGAAAAAGAAGCCACTTTTTGACTTTGCTTCAGCGCATGTGTGCATGCCTATTTACGAATTATGAAAATTCTGCAGTTGACGTGAGCGTCGAAAAGGAATTGGTTGATGGGCCCTGCTAGCTCTTGCTTTACCCTCCACCTTTGAACTCATCGATTACTTCCATTCGCAGAAAATTATTGCTTGTAAAACATTTATACAAGAAATTAATGTTCGACAATAAATTTCACTAGCAAGAAGTTTTCTTCATGGAACTGAGATTCTGCATATACCAGCTTCTACACTAGGGTCAAGCGTGCTGATGCGATCCGGGACCCTCATTTACGACCCTCCCCTTGAAGGTACCCATCCGTACGACCCCCCCCCCCCGGCGATTCCCGTATGCGACACAAATGTTTGCACGGAGAAAAAAATAACATTCTTGAACTACAAAAGATGTTTTCAACTAAGAAGCTTACTTCCCTCTTCCACAGTTTTTTTCGCGGAAAAAACCGCTTTAGCGCCGTCCAGAACGACGTCAAAAACATGCGTGCGCACGGTAGTTTGAAAATTCACTAAGGCCAGGAAAAGATTGAGAGGCTGGAAAGCACAGATTCTGTAGCATGGTGTCCAGACTATTCATATAAAAAGTTTCAGCCCTTGAGGAGCAGTAAGCTCGAAAAAATTTTGATGCGACACTCGCAATTTTAGATGCGATCCTATAAAGCAAAAACTGTGATTTTTGAGCTTAACATTTTGTAACTTACCAGAGAAGTTATAAAACAGCCTGCAATTCTTATGAAGGAAAGTAGAAGGATGACCTCATATTACAGCAAGGTTGCAGCCAACAAGCTTCGATAGCTCCAGAGAAATTTGGATGAGGCGCAGATACGACCCCCCCCCCTTTTCTCCTTTTTTTGCTACCATTCATAAAATCATAAGAGAATTCACAGTCAACAAAATAACACCAAATTTTGCACTGATATAGCAGTGCATCTTCAAAGTACAGATAAATCATATGGGTCTGAAAAACATTACAAAAAGATTTAGAAATTCATGATGGTCACAGCCAGTAAAGATATTCGCTTTTGTTGAGTGTGTGAGATTCAGGAAGGCTTCAGAAGCAAGATTTCTAGGGCAATCGGTACATTTAGCATTTTTATTAACTCATACGTCCTTCAAAAGTATTTTGAGCTCTTGTAAATGTTTTTCTTTGAGGATTTTTACAGATTTTTTATCTTTTTTATTCCGATTTCCACTATTTTTGGAGGATTTTTATTGTAAAGAACATAACTAATTATCTGCTTTTTGATGCCCTTCTAAGCTTAGGGTATTTTAGCCTAACTACCTCCTCTTACGACCCCCCCCCCCCCCCAACTTAGGTACCCTCTTTACGACCCCCCGTTGCGACAGTCGCATCACAAGCCTGACCCTGTTCTACACCCTTACTCCGCAAACAATGAAAGAATTTGACTTGAAGGGCGCATTATGGAGATTCCCCGCAAGAACATATTTCTAGGATGAGAGCGTACCTCGTCATTTGGAGATTTCAGGTCTGAGATTCCCTTACATGAAAGATTTATTGAAATTCGAAATTTATGCGTTAGAAAGAGCAAGAAAAGCACTTTCTAATAATACTAACAATCCCTTATAAGAGATGAAATTCTCTTAAAACAGCTGCTTCAACATAAGGCAAAAAAATTGGACAGTAGTCATGCAGCAGCCTAATAAATTGACTGAAAAGGACTAGATAAGAGGTAAGAACAATACAGAATCACAGAAGCCCTGCGAATTTACAAAAGCCACTTCAGCTATGTTTGATCCAAAATACTTCCTAAGTTCTCATGGTGTCGTAACCGACACGACCGCTTGATTTGCGGTCTTGTACTTCAATTTTGTATGCTTCCTCGAACCGTACACATCTTGAAAACACTGTTTTTTCGTGTTTACCACTCCCACTAAACAAAGGAGGCTGCCAGCTGGCAGCCTTCCGAATACTTACTGTCTGGGCTCCGTCCCTTTCTCTTTAGTCTTTGTTGAAGCGTTTTGCCAGAGAACCCGGCTTGGGAATAAAGAATCATCCAACCGTGTTTGACAGAAGCACGGTAAATCAAAAATCCACTGAACCCCAGCACATACGGCAATGTTTTCGAAGTGTTTTTTTCAATGAGCGCTCGCCCAAAATCTCAACCTATCGATTTTTCTTGCCTAATCTCGGCCATATTTTGGAACTTTTGTCTTAGCTAAAGAAGCTTTGATGAACGCTAGGAACAAGCACTCACCATCTATAACGGTGAGTGGCCCTTTCCAGGGTAGTTTGCTCACAGAAAGGCCAGCAAGCGGCAAGCCGGCTGAAGAAGACTAAACGTCGCATCAGTGTTCTTTTATGTTTCGACAAAATCTTCGAGCAAAAGCTATGACATTTCTAGGAAGCGAGGGGTACTAGAGGCCGACTAGTACGAACAGTATTCTAGGGCGTCTTGGCAAGATGACTGAAACGGAGCTAGTGTAGCTACACTTAACGGGAATTTCTCATGAGACGATACCAAGAATTAACAGATCTACTTAGGTAACGTCAGATGGACATTACATGCATTCAGGGGTACTGAAAAGATGAAAAGTCCGTCACGCGATATATTAGATTGGTACATAAGTAATGCAACTTTTTACATAACGTTTTTCTTTGCGAACGTAGTGCATTCATTTACTGCCAGTATAAGGATAATGATATTAGCTGCAAATGCAGACGTTTTTGCCGAATTTTGCCTCATGTAAAGTTTACGGTAGAATTACATATGAAAGAAGAATTTTTTAAATGGCGTCAGATTTTGCTGAAACTTGGTCTAATGGGGTTAAACCGGTTTCGCACGGAAGCTCCTTCGTAACTTCAAGCAGTGAATTTCTATCTTAGCGGCATTGATATGATATTAGTGTTCACCTTGTTGGATTACGCTGTTGTGCAAAGTTTTGGCGAATTCTGAGGTTTGGTAGCTAAAAATTAGTTATTGATAGATGGCTCTCCAGATTTGTCGTATCTGACTTTCTCAACTTCTTAAAGGCTAGATTTGTCTTCAACTTTCACTTTTTTTTACTGATTTATTACGCCAATTTCTAGCTGCTGCCTATGATTTCTTTCCAATCTTTCCAATATGTTTGATTTAGGTTTCGTTCGCTTCATGTTTGCCAAAAAAAGTGAATACCCGACTTTCAGCAGTCTTCAAAGAATGCTCAGAATTTTCTTACTACGTTATCAAAAATCAAACGGTCTACGCAGACTTGCAGCTTACATCACGTCTACATTACGCCAGCGAATGAGATTGCTATACTAAATAATAAAAAAGTCATGAGAGTTGCGGAACTTATCTGCCAATCTAATAAGAGATGGATACAAGCTTTTATACAAAGAAACAAGCAACAGCAGCGGTCGGAATCGTTCAAAAATTGCGAAACGGACTATCCAATGTGGTTCGAGTCTCATAAACTCATGGTCAGGGTGGAAAGGAGGAAGCAGTCTTTGTGAGGGATTTGTCAGAAGTCCGTGGTCAGTCCAAACAAGCTGAATACCATTCGATGCAGCATATAACGCTGGCTTCAATTCTGTCTTTCGTATCTGCTGAAAGCCATTTAAGCGAAGTTATGAGCGGTTTTATTTGAAAAAATCGTAAAAAAATCGTGAATGAGCACATCATTGTCCTTTCAGCTTGACCTTAGGTATGAACTACACAAGGTAACCTAGCTGCATAAAAAGGTTTGCATAGCTTTGCCAGTGACATCACACGAACACACGAACGACAGTCGCCTATTGTCGATTACCTCAAACTCCGATTCAAATCGCAACAGATAACTTCCTGATAAGTAAGCCAAAAGCATGGTTAACAAATGTAAATGAAAAGAATATCAAATAAAAACACCCTACATACAAGGGAAGGAAAACTATTGAGTGAGTCAACGCAAGCAATAAGTGTAAGTGACGAAACGGCATGATCAACGATGAATAAATATACAGTGACCGCCAAAAAGCTGCGGACAAGCCTCCCTCCCTTTTTCATCGCTCTTTTTCAGAGGGAAGACAAGAATGAAAAAATGTAGTAATTGCATGTGGTGATAGAGCTCTTCAAGATCTACAATCTACACCTTGAGCTTTTTGAGAAACATGTGTTCTAAAAATCTTAAGAATCTTTTTCTAAAAAAAGTCCGAAAATGGCCGCGTCACAATGTCGCGGACAATAATTCTTCGAACGCAAAAATTTCCTTTTGAGTTCTATTTTACAGCGGAAACACAAGTTATCCGGACGGGTAAGCATACTACTATACAGAGCTCGTCAAGAACTACACCTGGTTATGGTTGCTTCCCTAGAAAACGCAAGCTTGAGTTTTATTTTAGTTTTTTTCAACAAACAACTTCTAATTTCCTTTATCAAGCCAAACTTCTTCACACGGAAACCTGTTCAAGACATCCCAACAAAGCCGTTTGGATAAAATAGATGTTTTTTGCCATCCTACATGCATCGGAGGTGTGCTGATGAGTTTCTTTGCTGAAAATGGCCCTTGGCAGTGTTTGCACATGACCCCACCTGCACCTCACCACTGACTTGTACCGTTGCAGGTTTGTAACTCGGCCTGCAGTCAGTATTTGAGCCTGCAATTAGGCTTATTCGAAAGAACGAGACTTCCTGGACACGATGATATGCAAATGAGTTGAGTTAGAGAAATTTCAGAG